CTCCCAAATAAACCCCCATGCAGATAAACCTTCTGCACACTTTCATGATAGTCACACCCACTCTAGATTCAGAAGTTTATTTTGAATTTACCTTGACTTTTACACTCATGATGTGTGGAAAAAAAAAAGAGATGTCTAAGCAAAACCTTCATTTGCTTTGCTTTCCTTCATGCAAAGATGACAGCATGGTTCACAAAGAGAAAGGTTGTACCCAGTCAAATGATTAGGTCTAAAGTCTTTCTAAGGTCCAGAAAGGAATTCTGGAGTCACCTTGAAAATGTTTTAGTTCTTCAATCTAATTAAATATTTTTTCTCCCCCTCCCCCGCTCCCGCCACCCCAAGCAGCACATTTTAACTTATCCCTTTGCACACATTTATACCTTCTAGTCAATAAACAAAATGAAAGTTGCTGAAAGGCTCCTCCATGCATTTAGTCTGATACAGTAAGATAAACCTGAAATACATTGAAGATAAAAAGTAGAATCTATCAGGAATGAAACAACCATCAAGAAAAGAAAAGAAAAGAGAGCTTTGCATTACCTTTTGTTCATAAACTCCTAGCACAGGAGTATCATCTATTGCTTATTTCTTAAGCATGTGAAATGGGAACAGAAGGATCAGGATTAATACACCTGAAATTTTGGCCAGTGGATTAATACTGACTACATAATTTATAGCCACAATCCCATCCTCAGAATTACTCAAAAACTGAGGGAAATAACAACATTAGACTGATTTTCAAAGATGCTTACACTGCACCCAGTGATGGCGGTGCTCAGAGTGGACCATTTACCCACCCTTGGCTGAACAATGTTCTGCTGCAGCCACACAGCTCATAGTCCATGAGAGAACTTGTTCATCTCTATACAAAACTGCTATTTCACAATACACATAGCAGAAGGTTCCTGAAGGCCTAAATTATATTCAAGAAGAATATTTAGGCTGCTAAATCATTCAGGCACTTTCAAAGGATTTACTCAAGTTCACGAATCTAATTGCTCATCTAAATTTAATTCAGCTCAATTTTAAAAATCAGCTAAATTGGTGCTAATGCTGACGACACTAAAAATCCTCTTAAACTTATTTTAAGGTTAATTTGGTAATTTACCAACATAAAGGTTAAGCTGACTAAAGGTATTTTTTATAGAGAATTTTACAGAATTGCACTGGCTAAGCTATAATAGTAAAAACATAGTTTATTCAAACTTCTCTAATACTCACAAGCTCATAAATTTACTTCAGGCAATACTTCTCTAGATAAAAAAATAGTCATAGAGGAAAATGACATGAATAAGTACAGTTTTCGTTGTAGCAACTGCTTGAATTTTTCAGGATATTCAGTAAAGCGATCATCAGCAGAGAAAAAACCCTCCTACTTCCCTGACTTAAATGCGAGGAGTAACCCCCTTGTATAAGAAATGCTGCTATGAATAGGTCTAGACTTTACACAGCCATGGGTCACTAATTTAATTAGATTTCAAAGCAGCTATTCTACCTTTACACTGAATACAATACTTCCTGTACCCTCCCTCATACTAAAAGGAATAAAACAATCCCCGAGAGGTTTACACCTCAACGCATGAGGAAACAACAACAAAGTGTACATACAATACCTTGACTTACAGATGGGGTTTATATTGTTCAAGTTATTAGGAAAACCTTAACTACTTGCTAAGTTGGTATTTTTAGCAAGGAAAACAAAAGCTTTTCTCCTTTCTGGTAAGACAGGATTCTGTTTGACCTGCTCTGCTCAGAAAATGACTCTCGTCAGCCAACCTCAATAACTTCCCCTCCTAATTGTGTACATAATACAAAATTAAAACAAGCTTCTCTGTATGAATAAAATAAATTTTAAAAAATGAAATTTACTGGTAACAATAAAAGTCCTTGCCTTCCATAAAAATAAACAGTAGGTTTTGTAGGGTTTTTCTTGGGGGTTGAAGAGTCAGGTAGAGCAAGGAGCCCTGCTGCGTATCAGTGTTTGGTCTTTTGAGCTTTTCTCCTTTCAAACAAAAATGAGGGCTGCAGTTTTCACAGGGTTCTTGTATCACATTTGTTACCATGCATTTCAGACTGTGTAATCTTACTGCTTTCATAATTTGAGTGATCCAAAGCTGCATGGATTAGTTACCTGAGGAGACTGGGGGTTTTGCCCTCACTAAAAGCCATGAGGGAATAACAGGAAACAAAGTTCATATTCTCTTCCAGGAGCTCACGGTAACATTTCAAAGAATTACACAAGACAGGCACCGTTACTGGAAGTGAAACCACACTATAATAGACAGGATCATTTGCCTCCACTTTCACCATCTATAAATGACATGAAAATACCTATTATTTGACACTATCATTCTGCTACACGTACTGTTATTCAGCAACATGCATGTAAAGGAAAAATGTGCTATAACAACTCTATGAACAGTCTTTGCAAATAACTTTGTTGTTGTTAACATCAGTCCAACTTCACATCTTGCTCTGCTGAAGCAGGACACTAATTCAGCCTTGATCCAGCTGTTAGACACAAGTGCACAACATTTCATACTCTATTCTTTCACAGGAAAACAAGATGCCAGCGTACAGGAAGGGCAGGGGCAGGAAACCACGGATTCCTCTGGATCTCACATATAAATGAAGCTCATAGAGTGTTGATTCCCTAAACTGACAATACAGTTCTTCTGCAGGCAGCTACAGCCTATTGCTACCTTACACGCCTTGTATATAGTGCGAGAGAGAATTTTGTGAAGAGTGGATATGAAGACGCTAGTGCCGAAATTTCTGGCGAGTCCAGCGCTTGTATTTTCTGAGCAGCATTCCTACCCTCTGTATGGCAAATTAACAGCAGTAAAAGATGAAACTCATCATAACCCATTTCTACAGTGCAGTATTTCTGGAAATATAATGGCTATTAGGACACAAAAAATTTTGATGCACAAATGAAGCTGAAATTTTAATAGCTTCTTTGCTCTCCCATGTGAGCTAGTGGCAATGGTAATGAAATAAAACTGAAACAATTACAGAAGGTATGAAAATGTGTTTCTAGATATCCATTCCTCTTTCTGATTTCAAGTCATCTTTCTGATCTTATGATAAAACTGCTGGGCTACAATACTTATTTGTCATCGTACAATGGAAATGAAAAGTCAGTCAGTTTAAGACATCCAGCAATTTGTTATCAAATAATATGTTTAAAGAGAGCTGTTTCATGGCTTCTAATAAATTTCAGTGTATGAGCCTAGATTATTTAAAATCAGTGCTGTGATGAAAAATCAGACTTTCATGGTATGAAAACTGAGAAAAATAAGTAGATACTTGAATGTAATTTAAAAATTCCCAGGACAGAGAGCACTGGTGATCTCTGGAATGTCTAAACCACAGAGCCAAACATATTTCATACTCTCATATGCACATGAAAAGAAAGGGAGTAAATGGAAGTAAACAATATACAAAGGTAAGCTTCTTTTATTCTGGTTATAAATAAAAACCACAACTCCTTGCCCTGCTCCCCCGAAAGCTAGAAAGCAAATCCCATTCTGTTCTAGACACAGAGGAAAGACAGTCATTTCATTACAAGAAGTGTAAGTGAAAAATCAGGAAGGCACAACTAAGTATAATTAGGGGGTTAACAGAAGTTTGGGGAGTGGGGCCCCTATCCTACTTAGGAACATAGCAAATAAAAAACAGTTATGATGTTATTTCCTCAATTACGGCCACTTCTCCTTTGCAAAGTGGTAAATTGTAAGAGCAAGCGCTGATGTGACCTTAGTATTAATTAGTAGGACAGAGCTCTCATCCACTTACAGGGAAATATCCCTTGGCACTGGAATACAACAAGGAAGAAGGGAGAAGATACAAGAAGCCAGAGAGACAATGCAGCATTGTATTATTTCCAAAGGAAGTACCATCCTGAGACACTTGAGGATGCCCCCTAAAGAACAGTGTTGGGGACCTGAGGCACACAGAGCTCTCGACACTCAAGAGGGCTGTAGCTGGAACTAGATAAATTGCCAGAGCTGTGATGACAGTGCTGGAATCAGAGCTGTGGGATTTAACAGAAAGATCAAAGCAGTCCATGGCATATCCCTCCTTCCATCATCTTCTACTCCACAGCACTGTGCCAGAACAGCACCAGCTCAAAAAAACACTTGCCACATGAGCAGATTCCTGGCTAGTGCTATCTACCATAGTGGCAAACATATAATTTTGCTGCCTTTTCTTATTTTTTTTTTAAACCATAGAGTTGCTTTATCTCCAGCCTAGCGTAAGCTCAAGTGGAGATGGCTGACTAATTTGAACTGGCTGCAGACAAGTTGGTACAGGCATTACTGAGTAGCATAGACCGCTGGGGACCACCAGAGAGAGATGAGCTTGGTAGCAAATTCTAATTTACTCTCAACACATGGAAGAATGCGTCAGCAAAGACTCTCAGAGTGAAGCACATTAATTAGTTAAGCCTACTCAAGTTTTGTGGCTATTTTAAAATTAATAGGGTTGAGTAAACTAGGGCAAGCAGACAAAAAGGCCTACATCCTCAAAAGCATATTGTGGGTACGCTGAGAATTGTCTTTGTTGATCTGGATCTAAATGGATTCCAAGGTCTAATAATGAATCAATGAGTTGAATACTGTTTCCTAGATTCCTATCTCTCTGTGATCAGGCTCTTATAATGACCTGGGATTCAAAGAGCGTCTTCCACTGCATTATATTAGACCAAAGCTGGTATTAAAGAACTTTCAAAATGTGAAATTATGTGGTAGTTGACTCATTGCAGCAAGAACCATAAAGCTGAATACTGCTGTTGTGTTTTTTTACATAGCCATGTGACCATATGTAAATTATGCCAAGAACAGTAAAAACTTAAAAATAAGAGAGCATAGTGGGTGTTAAACTTTCTGTTATCTTCCATGGTATGGAGTACTTTACGGTTAGCAAGACGTTTGTGATGAAAAAAGAAATACCTTTGCCTCCCAAGTATCCAATATTTAAAAGCAAAGTTAACATACCTGTTCCTTCACTGCTCTTTTTTTCAGACTGTGCCACTTGTATAACTTCAGCAGCAGCATCCCTTACTACCAAATCTTCGTTCTGCAGCAGTAGAATCACACACTTCCACAGAGCAAGGGTATCAGACAGTCCTACATTCATTTATGGAGAGAAAAAGGAGAATTCTATTTCTTAAATGCATTCAAAGAAGTTAGAGAGTTCTGTTTCCACAGCTAAACAAAACAAATGCTGAAACACTGCAGAGAAGCACATTGACAAGCCACTGGCAAAACAACTGCCAATATGATCAAAGTATTTTCAGCATGTGTGAACTTTATGTAGATGGCAGACTCAGCTTAGTTTAAACAGTGGGCAACAGATAAGAGAATGGACCTCTTTGACTGGGTTCAGCTGTAACTCATGAGTGCTCTGAATTTTCTACAGTTTCTAGGAGTGCAGAATTCCTGTTTGGCAATGTCAAAAATTTTGCCACTGGAGATTGACCAATGCACTCTGTCCGTGGATCTGCTGTTGCAACCTGCCTGGAGCAGGAGCTTCCAAACCAAGGTTTCTTCAGATAATGTCAGCTGTCCTGGATACAAATGCCATTCTCTGCAGGAAAAAGCAGAAGATCCCAGCTCCCAGGGATCTACCAGTTACCTACTTCTCCTACACCCGCCTCACCCCACCACTCACCAAAAAGCCCTGCCATCCTCACCCTATCTGTTGGAACAAGTCAAGTTAAATCCATAGGGTAATTACATGCACACAATTAAAACTAATCAGAGGTAACTGCCCAGAGAGAGGTGCTCACTAGGTAGACTCCAAGCAGGCAGATAGCACATACCACCCCAATGGCAATTCTCATCTCACAAGCAATAATCCACTTGCAAACCCTTGTGCCATTCACTGCTGTCACACTGTGGATGACCAGTTGAAGTCACAAGGCTCCTAGCTTTGCTGGGGTACTTTTCATCTGACTTTTCAGGTCTTCTTGAACATCCTCATTAAGGGAATCTACTAGAAGGTCTCTTGTAGATGCAGCCAGCTGTTAGATATTAGTTTCTGGTGATCACAGACAACAGGGGAGCTGGTGCTTCATTGTTGTGCTGGTTTTCTTCAACCATGTTATCAGTAGGTCTATCAGACATTTGTATTACAAAGCTAGCCAGACAATTGTATTTCACTGCTTGGCCACAATAAATTGCTCAAGGCTTTATTACACAGGCAGAGAAAGCATTCCTGTATTTCATACAACTTCCCTATGTGGGAATGGCATGGAGTATAATTATTTCAGAAAGAGTTGCTTTTCTTCCTAACATAACACACTCAATAATGTTCTACTGGCACAGCTAGGGCAGAATAATTATTCCCTTATAGATTCAATGGCCAGCTTTCCCATCTAGACAAGTTTCTACAGTATCTCCTGCAGTGGTGGAAGGCTGCAAATGGATTTTCTAGAAAGACTTTCTCTGAACCCTCAAGCAGCATGATGGAGAGATGATGGGGTCACCCAGAACATGGCGAATGGCATTCACTCTTCCTCTTATGAGCATAATAATGGAAACTTATGGGAACAACTACAACTCCATTCCACACAACCAAAGTCTCCTTAACTTCTACTTTTTACTGTATGTGGTCAAGCAAGGTGATGCAGAATAAGGTGTGAAAGTCCAAACTGTTTATATGTGCATAACCCCTTTAAGTGAATGATTCTGAGTTTATGTCACTACAACTAAACACCAGATCATGCCCTTGATTTGCTAAAATTCTCACTACAGTACTGCTGCCTGTCTTGTTCAGGACACAAAATAATTTCTTTATCATCTGCTACTACTTATTCTTGTATATCTCCTGGCTCCTTAATCACAAAATCCCCTTATTCTCTATCCACAGAAGGGAGGGGGAAAAAAAAAAGCCAAAAGAAAAAAAACATGTATTCTGCAGAATAGACCAGAGAGTTTCATTTAGCTTTGCCTCTCAGTCAGTAATGTATTACTTAATAACATTCTGTAGGTTTTGTTTCTTTTTTTCTTTTCTAAAGAGACAGTCTAACATTAACTGTAAAAAAAAAATCCATTATACCTGGGAGGTATAATGTGATCCAATTATTAATCATTCTTATAGTAGAATGTGTCCCCAGTTTCTAGACTGAAGCCTTTAATTTCAACATTCAGCCAGCACAGCTTTGTTACACTCACAGTGTTAAACTAAAAGTATGCCCACATCACCAATACAGTATTTCAGAAAGACTGAAGTCAGAGAGCAATTGCAAGCTAGTAAATCTGTACAGCAATGTACAGTGGCCTGGAGACGTAACAACAGCTCATGTCCCCCTTCTCCAGAGTTACTGCAAGAGGCTGTGCACATGTGCTTTTTCTAACAGAATTTAAATAAGTCTATATGTTTAGTAATTAAATCCTATTAAAATGTAAAAAAACCCGTTTGATGTAATTATGTGTTTTGACTGGGTGCATATAACATGTATTGTATACATATATAAGTCATGTACTAATGGATTTCATCTACAAAGATCCAGAAAATTAATGTTCAAACTACTTACCAAGACTGAGCTTCTCACTGATCAGAAGGAATGATGTTACACTTTTAAGTACTTCAGCAGCTGCTAACAGCATCTCTGTCTCTTGCTCATCTCCACAAAAATACAGGATCAGCTGAACCCATTTTTTCAGGACTTCTTCTGAAATCTAAAAGCACAGAGCATGTGAGAAGTATGCTGTACAACCTCTTACCATCACACTGAACTACGGACTGCAGAAGGGATACTGCTCATTAGTAAATGTGGATTTTTTTCCAAGCTGCACTCAGAGCAGTATTCAGAGGCAATTCTCTCTCGCTCTGTCCCTTCACACCAGACTCACCCATGACCACACAAGTCAAAGCATGTCTTTGTGTATTCAGTTCTTCTAAACATGCAAGTCAAAGTCCAGTATGCTGGACTATAACAAAGGGAAGCAATTCTCAGAAGCATTCTACAGGTACACATACATAGCTGAAAAAACAATTGAAAGCTTTTGAAACATGCCATCAATCTTAGCCTTTGATAATTATGCAATGCTTGGTAAAGGGATGAATGGAGCTCCATTTTTCTCCTCTGCTGATATTGGGAATGGATTTTTTTTTTTTTAAATAAGACTCTCAAGGCACCTTTCATTTTGAAAGCATGTGCACTCAGAATACTGAAGAAATCTCCATGTTGGCTGATACACAGCAAAGCCCACTGTCCTAAAACATGAAGAATCAGAAAAAAAGAACAGGAAAGGAAGTTTCCTGGTTCAAATAAAATCCAGCCGCCATCTTTCAGAAAATATTTAGTCCTATAACACTTCCAAAACTTGTAAACTCTGCCCTGCATTGGGACAGCTGGGCCATAACTGGGAAGAGAAAGTCCTAACTTGTGTTAAGTGACCCAAGAAAGATTTAAGATCCCCTGCAAATGCTACCCTTAGGAGAGCAGTGGGTTGGTCAAGGTGCAGGAACCTTAAGTGAAGGTTAGAAAACAGATCTTGCAAAATGCAGGAGGTGGCACCCAGACACAGCGTGTGCTACAGCTGTCAGAAAGAAGCTCCAGAGGGAAAAAAAAGCCCCAAACAAACCCAAACAGATTGGCACTTCAGTCACAGGAGAATAGATAAAGCAGCACCAGTTTGACCTGGATGCAACTGAGCTATGTGCAACTAAAGTTTTGGAGTTTCTTTTCCTTTCTTTTCTTTTTTACTTATTTTTAATTAAAAGAAATGAAAAACATAACAACAAAATAAGGTAAAGAAGAGAACCAATGAAAAGTTGAGTCAAGTAAAAGGGCAGAGAAGTACAGGAAGATTCACAGAATCCCTGAATGGGTGAGGCTGGAAGGGACCACACTGGGTCATCTGGTCCAGCTTCCCTGCTCAAGCAGGGTCATCCCAGAGCACATGGCACAAGATGGTCTTGAATATCTCCAAGGGAGACTCCACGCCCTCTTTGGGCAATCTGTTCCAGTGCTCAATCACTCACACAATAAAGCAGTTCTTCCTCGTGTTCAGGTTGAACTTTCTGTGCATCAGTTTCTGCTTGTTTCCTCTTGTCCTATTGCTTGGCACTACCAAGAAGAGCCTGGCTCCATCCTTTGACACCCTCCCTTCCAATACTTAGAGGCAGTGATGAGGGCCCTCTCAGTTGTCTCTTCTTGAGGCTGAACAAGCTCAGCTCCCTCAGCCTCTCCTAGTAAGAGAGAAGCTCCAGTCCCTTAATCATCTTTGTTGCCCTCTACTGGACCTGCTTCAGGAGCTCCATGTCTCTCTTGTACTGAGGAACCCAGAGTCGGACACAGCACTCCAGGTAAGGCCTCAAGAAAAGGGGCTTCATCCAAGTCATTGATGAGCAAGTTAAATAGTACTGGGCCCAGTAGTGAACCTTGGGGGACACCACTAGTGACAGACAAACTAGACCCTGTGCCACTGATTACAACCCTCTAGGATTACTTCTCAACGCACCTCACTAACTGAGGAATAAATGCAACCTCAGTCACGCTCTGTCTCATTCTGTGCGGTACATGGCCACGCACCTGCACCGCACCAAGGGACAGAGCCAGAGCATGTCCTACAGATTCTGCAACAGGGGAAGACAAAACATACGAATCTCTTAAGATGGTAAAATTATTCAAATTTCAAACAGACACATCTGTCTAGAAAAGACAGAACTTAACTTTTACCTTATGGAAGAGAAACAATCCCTTTCACAGATGCAAATACTGAGTGCAAGCCCAAAGGAAGAATTTAGAGGGAACACTGACATACCTGGTCTTTTACTAAGCAGAAAGCTTTCGCTGTAGAGATATCTTAGATCTCCCATGATTTACATGCTTATTAGAGAAAGTTGTTTTAGCATTACTAGTTAATGTTGTTTCAGGATTTTTCATTAATTCCTCTTTGTTATTTGTAACTTGAAGTCATTGCATTATGTCTTTCTTTAACAAAAACGTTTAACACCATAATTCTTTTTTGTCAACTCTTGTGTGCAAATCTGAGATTTTCTTTTTTTTTCATAATGAGACAAGATTATTAGCATATAATAAGAATTCATTCTGCTACACATTCTGTCAAAAATAATAGCTACGTAAGGAAAAAAAATCTTCATTTTAATACAGATCATGAGAATTTTCTTTATTTTAAAATATCCATTAAGTGGTTTTCGTGTCTTCAAAAATATTTTTAAAAATGTCTAGCACTAAAAGCTGCGTTTGCACTGCTCTACACATACATATGTGACATCACAGACTGACAATTTAAAATCAAAAGAAATCTGAGCTGGCTGGGAACTGCACTCAACCACTGCTTCAGCTTCCCATCCAACCTGCTCTGCTGTGGGCTCCACAGCAATCAGAAACCACAACAAAGTTGCACTTTAGTAAATGGGCTGGATTCAGAGCAAGCGTTAATCACCGCAGGCATTTCCCTTTCCACATTATAGTGACCATTTCAGATGAGCTCAGAAGTTGAAATTAATCCATCAGAAATATTTACTTATGCATTTAACTTTAAATGACTTTCAGAGGAATATACTGAGATGACATTCATGGCTTTTTCATTTCAGTACATGGCAGTGCATTCAGAGAGGAAGATAAAACACCAAAAAAGGTGCAAGGACACAAGAAAACACAAGCTTGGGGCTAAAAGAATCCACATTATTACAATCACCAAAAACTCCAGATGACAAAACTGTTAAGCAGTTCCATTTCCCTTACCTGATGATGGTTCTGCAAAAGATGGATAATCAGCTTGGAGGCAAATTTGAGAGCTATGATTTGACCTTCAGTGCTGAGAAAACAAGGCAAAGGACATATCAAAAAAATTCAGCTATTTATGCCATCATCTCATCTCTAGAAGAAAATTAGCCAGCTCTTAATTACTTCTGATAATCACCAGTGGATATTTTTCAGGTTTAGCACTTGAAGATTCTACATTACAGATCTTGATGTTAGCTAAATTTTCAGCTGATATGCAAATGAAACGTGCCTTTACTTTCACCTCTCATGTTTATTTTCTATTTACAATACTTCTCACAGAAAAACACATTTGAAAATGGAACCCAAGTCAAATAAACCAGACATTATTTTAAATTATAAACAAAAGAACCTATTCAAGCTGCTGTTAAGCTGCAGGAGTATCTCTTCTACAGCTGCTAGGGATGTTCCAGATGTGGAATATGCCAGCTGCCACCTTCTGAGCCTCCATGCTGCCCAGCAGGGTCTGAGGACGTGGCTCTTGGCACCGTGGCTTCTGAAGGTTAGTCTCACCATGGGGAATGGCAACACAACACCTGAGCAGTACGGCCCGCCAGTTCAGCTGTTTCCCTCCAACAGCACCAGTCAGTGTTATTTTACCACCAGTATCTTACTGCATTCCAGAAATAACCACTCCCCACCATAATCATTTAAACTTGAACAATTTAGTGCAAATCAGCAGCAAATGTGCATAGCTATGAAATGCTGTTCTACACCCTATACCCTAAATATTCACCTTTGGTAACACTGGGGTTCAATGTTTATATGGTTTTAAAAACTACTAGAAACAGGATGTCAAACCCATAGAGCCTGGACACTTTACCCCGTTTGTTCGTTCCATTATGAGTGGATGGACACAGACTCTAATTCAGTACAAACTACAGACTGGATCCAAATTTTCAGTGCTTTCTGCAGACTTTACAGTCTGAATAGGGAGTGCGAATCCTACAGATTAGGATTAACCATTTCTGCCAATCCAACAAGTTAAATGAGATCTGTTACTCTTTCTACAAATCATCTGCACATAAACCTGGATACAGTGGAGGACAGATTCACAGCAAGTTAGTATATGTTTGGATTATTAATTCTAAGTTAAAGTGGGTGTTTCCCAATTACTCTTCAGGAAGAACTATCTATGCTTACTGGTTATCACTGGAGAGCCGGAGTAACTTCTTATTTCAGGAAATGGACATTTACAGGGTGCTTGCCCATATGACTTGTGGGCCTTTCTAATAATTCAGATCCATGTCTAACTTCTTTGGAAAACTTCTCAAGAACTCTCTTGATTCAAACACATCACACTCACTTTTCTGAAACATGGATTTTTATATCAAAGGGTAGTCTCAAACCAATAAATTAATGTTTCAATGTTTAAGGTTTTAAAAATATAAATATTTCAACATTATGAAACACCATACCTGTTAGAGATATCTACAAGGTTTAAACTCCAGGTTAAGAGCTCATCTGGATTCATTTTTATAGAGCATTCAGTCTTCAGAAGCACATTTCTGAGATCCATATCGTAAAGAATTTCCAGTACCTGCAGACACAATTCACAAAAAAAGAATTCAGGGAAAGTCTCAACATGAATGTGCACATTTGAGATCAATAAAACACCCTAACCCTCACTCTAAGAACACAAAGATTCTCTCTGGATAGCATTAAGAAAGAAAAGAGGAAGTTCTTGCTTTAACACAAGAGCATCTGTTACAGAATTATTGCACAGCTCCTGTGCAATGTAAAAAAATCCCAACCACTCAGCTAGTATTTAAAAAACATAATGCATGTTTGAAATATAACTTTAAAATTTAAGAATACAATTTACTGAAATCATACTAAATGTCAATAAAGTAGCACCCTCTTACCATGCAAAAACACTGGTGATTCGTTTCCTTCAGAGCCATTGTGAGAAGAGTGTCTTCCAAATCAATGAGTAAACACAATACACCTTCTCTTCCTTCTGCAATCTGCTTGGAATTTTTTTGTTTCAACCACAGCAGTATTGCTTCCAACGTAAGCAGACGTACTTCATGGAACTCACAGTGAAGGAGATGAGCTATTGACAATGATGGCTTGGCCATTTTCTTTGCAGCTGAACCACTGCCCTGGGTGTCCAGACTTGCAGTCACTGGCAGCACTGATATTACAAGTTTGGTGATGCTCTGAAGATACTGTATCAGTCCTGGTACTACAGATGAGTAGGGAATGCCAGACACCAGTTCAGACTCTGAAATAACTCTGTTCATCTCTTCCCAAAATTCATGAAATTGCATTCCTGGAATGAGAATAACAGCAAAGTGACAAAGAGATGATGTTACCTTCTGCTCCAGATCATGAAGTTGACAAATATCATGTATGCAAAAGGTATCATATGGTAAATTCAGGCATGACATTAAAATCATAGTTCTCCTTCATTTTAAACTGATTCCAAATTATAAAACAGCTTTTCCAGACATCACGTTTATACATATTTAAATAAAAAGGAATAAGGACACAAAGTTTTCTGAGAACTATAAATGGTTTGACATGATCTGAAAGTTTCAAACAACTTAAAAAAAATGCTAGAGTACCTTGAAGATTGCCTGTAATCTTTACAAATTATAGTTGTTTGATAAGTATTTCTTTAAATCAAGCTACTAATACAGTATTGCAAATTTTACAAGCCTTGCATTTCAACTGTAGAAAGCGATTAACAGAAATAAACTATCCAATATATTTGGGGGAAAAAGTGTAGGTAGGTAGCTCTACAATCAGAGACCAGACTGGACAAAGTACTGTCTGTCAGCTTCTCAGCTGCACCTGAAATCAGGTGACAGAGGTCATTCTGATAATATTGAAAATCCCATGCTTTCATAGACTTAATCAGAGAAAGTTACTATTAAGAAGATGCCCCTTGTGGATAAATAGACCTGCCCTGTGTGTATCAACCTAAAGAGTTTACCTATTAAAAAATCCAGGATGTTTTATCCCTATGCTTTTTCATTTTGAACAGTTAACACAGCTAAGGATAAAGGAATCACCCTGTAAACCCTCTTATGTATCAGCACAGGAACTGCGACATTGCGGCCATTCACACTTGTGCGACCCGTCCACATGGCACAATACAGCCTGAGAACCTTCTCTAGTGCTTGGCCACCTCCTGCTGCAAGCAAAAAGGTCACTGCTATCTGTGATGCCAGAGGGTTTCAGGCTTTAGCAGAGCTGGCAACGTAGCCACAAAATGACAGGAAAAAAAAAAAAATTCAATGGTCATCTCTCACACACGTAGACTGAAATACTTATGTGACTCAGGTTCAAGCTTCTTCTCCATCATCAGTGAGAATGAGTCATTTTATATATTGAAACCAAGGATTTTTGCCCAGTTCAGATGTCTGTATAGACTGTACTGCAAGAAAATGAATGTGCTATATCCCACAAAATACAAATACAAATAAGGGAAAATCATGAAGGAACACAGAAGAGAACAACAGTGCCACTGGTGTTACAGGATGTTACAAGTTTATTTTTTTTTAAATGTAAAAATGCACAAAAGATAAATACAAAGATTAAAGCAAACCTAGATTTCTTCAGTATCTGCAAGAAGACAATTCACTGCCATATAAACTTTGCTATTTATAATTAAACACTAAGCACTGCTAGAAGCTTGTCCAAATATTTCTAATAAATTGCTGAATTTGACATCAGGCTGCAACGCAAACACGGATTCATTTTGTTGCCCATGAAGACATTTCCCTAAGCCTTCTATTTAGAGCTAAATATCCTGCCCTTTCATATTCAGATTCTTCCAAAGCCATCTTAATTTGTTTGACATTTACACAGAAACTTGACATGATTGTACACTGTCTAGCACATAAGGCAGAACCGTTTCTGAGTAATTCTGGACAAGCTTCAAAGAAATTCAGTATTTGTAAAAAAAAAATCAGACATATTGCCTAACCATTAGTTCTGTCATTCGTGTTTTCACTTCAGTTCCTTTTCCGAACGGGTTTGATGTAGTGAAAGAAACTGCAATATCAGTGCATTATCCTCTAGATGACACAGCTGACTTCCATCTCTTAACAATGCAAACTTGTGTATTTCATTTGCTACATTTTCTAAAACCCCTCCAAACACACTGGTTTTACATACTGGCATCATAGCATAAACTAGCATTAATGCCCATGTCACACAACTAGTATCCAACAGCCAGAATTCCTTAATTTCTGAACTGTCTGGTTGCCTTGGAGAGGGACTAGGCCTTCATCTCAGTTATTACATGGGTAGACTCCACAGACACCAGTTTAACAACAGAAATAATCCCAGGCAGCTGAAAGAAAAAGGTTCAGGTTCTAGCACCTCAGTTTAAGAAGAGAAACAGCTTCAGTTTTGGAGCCCTGCACCCTCTCTGCTTCCTACCTGTTCCCCTCAGTTGCATTTCAGCAATGCACATGTCAGCAAGCTCAGTTATTCAACCCAAGTGTATATTTCTATTACTTTCACATAAAAAACATTGTGGAGCTACTCACTCCTAGAACTACTACTTTGCAGTGACTGTGATACAAGAGTCTTTGCTAACAGATCCTCCTTTTCTGTACACATCAGATCCTTCTGTTTTGGAGGCCTGTTGGATGACTTTTTTTTCCCATGCAATTGTTACAGACTGGACACTGTGGTTCATATATTTTACAGAAAGTCTGTTTAAAACTGGATGTCTCAGTGGCAAGGCCGTCAGCAAAATAAGACTGTCTGCATATTTGCTTAGCCTCAGAATACCAGAAAGCAAATCTTTCTGCATTCATCTTGTGCTCCACATGTTCTCCAACACTCTTTTTTCACACAAATATGCACAAAAGGAAGGAATGCCCGCGTCTTATTACAATACAGTGGAAATATTCCTGCTTTCAACTTCATCACCACGAAATCTTTCCAGCCTTTCATGTAAATGTTTTCTCGTCTGCTTAGCTTTAAGTAAACTTTTTCCTTTGGCTTACATCAAAATATCTGACCAAACTAGAAATCCACACTGGTTCCCAAAGCAAATGTCAGCCTCTGTTCTTAAGATAAAGACATACTTTTATTTACAAACAACAATCACTGTACAGTTTGAACAACCAGCTGCTTTGAGAAGGAAGAACAAATTCTGGCTGACCAAAGAATGATCCTGGCAAATAGCAGTGTTGTCCAGGATGCTGACAGATGCAAAAGAATCCCCCCCCAGAATTAAGTGGATTAATTTTATTTTTCCCTCCTTAAGGATTGCTGCATTTGTAGAACAGGAAGAACTTCGGCCTCCTTCTAGGAAGGGAGACATCTCACACAACCAGTGTCAATCCTCCTTAACACAGAGCACAAACATCCCATAGTGCTCCTCAATCCCTTTATGGTCACTACATTGACATATGCATAGATCATCTATGGCACATCAACTAGGTTTGAGGCATTGGTTTTTTAATCCTATTTGTGATCAACTCATGTTCAATCAATTATTACGAAATAAAATGGCCTTTCATCACCTGAAAACAGAGGAAAGTAAAAGGAGCAGAATGGAATTAGCAGACCTGATGAATCTCTAGTTAAAAACCTCCTCAAAGTCAGCAACTCCCAAACCTGTGCCCTGCCTGACTCTCTTCTTCTCCTCCCCACAGCAGCCAGTAGGCCCTATTCTTCAGTCTGTTCCCAGCAAGTAGAAACATCGAGTAAGGACAGAAAAACATCCCTGCCCAGTAATGAACTGTCAGCTGATGGACAGTTCAGCCTGATCTTTCATCTCAGAGATTCTACAGTATGTTCAAAAGCGAAAGAAGTAATCTGAGTTCCTTCCGTATTTAAATCTAAATTTTTTTCCCCTCCTTGACAGCTAACATGTAGGACTGATTATGTACTTCTGTAGGATTCGGTAAATTACAGTGACTGTCCTGGCTACTGCCATTGGATAACTCTCCCTATCATCAGGTGTATACTGTGCGAGGAGCTTCTGTTTCAAGATGTGATTAGCACAGATGTAAGTATTTGCACACTTCTAGATAAATACTGAGATTAATTCCTGTATGCAGGCCCTCAAGCATCCAAGCCACCTTCCATCTTCCTACCAGAGGCTCCAGAAGAGAAGAACAAAGCAGGGGAAAAGGGGAGAAGTTAGTAGCAGCATCAGAAAAGTTACTGACACTATGCAAGGGCAGACAAGAACTACATAAGCAGCAATAAAATACTGCTATGCCCACAGTGCAATGTTACAGGAAGGGGTCCAACATCAGAAACTGAGATATTCATCATCATCATTCACCAAGACCTGCAAGAAAGTGCAATTATTTATGGACTGAGGTTAAAATCCTTTGCACTCGCAAACTACCATCTATTTATGGGTATCTGAAGAGATCATATGAATAGAGAGAAGGCTGAGAGGTAATCAGTGCCAAGAAGAGATTTTCCTAGACAAATACTAAGGAAAAGTATTTTCCTTCAAATTTTTCCTTTTTATTAAAAGTGGATTAGGCAAAGTCACTGCTAAATGGAAAAAAAAAAGAGAACAGAAAAGTCTGTTTTATTATACTGCCAAACTGAGGTGACTGTTGATGATCATGAAAAGGGCATATTTTATGCAGGATGTTTTCTTTTAAAGACATCTGCAACTTCAACATCAGAAACTAAGAATCAGTATTCACAACACAATTCAAAACTACAAACAGGAGTGATTAACAGAATCCACGGATGACTTACCACTGGGGACAGAAGCATCCCACTGCATTTTGTACAGTATAAGGGAAAGTTTTCAATTAAAAAAAAAGAAAACAGAAAAAGAAAAAAACCCACATTTGATCTGGACACTGAGACTGCTATTTTTCTTACAGTTTCTCTCTGGCACAGCACTGAGTTTTCCACTATTTTGCATTCATACAGAATTGTAAAAACCCCTAGAGACAGTGCAAGTCAGCCAGTGGTACATGCTGGAATCTAAAAAGAACCTGATTTCAGAAGGATGAGCAGTCTCTGTCTTCACATGGGGACTGCTAACAATAATAAACACGATCAACTCCACTTTCCCTTAATGTCACTCATTTCAGGTAACACCTTTCCATATTCCCTGTACAACACAGCATTCCACCACTATCATGCCCTACCATCAACAACCCTCCTCCTTTCACTGTGTCCCCACCATCTTTCTAAAAACACTTTAACTTTCCTCCTCCGACATCTGTGCCATGAGTTCTGCTTCCAACATTTCCTAGACAGACTGTTGGTGTAGAACGCCTCCACCTCCCTTCTCTAATCATTTATTATTCTTTTCAGCCTCCGTCC